TGTTTTTATTTTTAGCTGAATATTCATGTTGGAAACGTAAGCTTAGTCGATCAATTCGAATGGGACATGTCCGATAAACAGAATAGTCCAGAAGAATTTGCTCGCGTATTAGCATCCGAATTAGGTAAGAATTTTTTAAAGCAAAAAAACCAATCAACATATGAAGACATATATATATATATATATAGGACTTGGTGGTGAATTTGTTACAGCAATAGCATATAGTATTCGTGGACAACTTAGTTGGCATCATAAAACCTTTTCCTATAGGTAAAAAATAAAAATCTGCTAATTTTCATAGATTTATTTTTTTTTATAGTGAAACACCAATGCCAACTGTTGATGTTGCTACGCGAACAAATCATGATGCTGAACAATATTGTCCATTCCTAGAAACACTTACAGATGCCGAAATGGATAAAAAGATTCGTGATCAAGATCGTAATACAAGGTAGAAATTTATTTTTAGGAAAGGAAAATTTATTTTTTTTAAAATCTTAATTTTAGACGTATTCGTCGTTTGGCTAATACTGGTTCAGCTTGGTAGACATAATTGTATCTAACATTTTTTTTTTGCTGTTGTTAGTTTGTCATTGTCAATTTTTTTTCTGTGAATAAAAACTAAATAAAAGTATAGTTGTTAATGAAAACAAATTTTATTATTTAACAGACAGTCAATTCTTGCAGAGGTCGATACATTCATTAAAGTGCTTTTCATCTCTGGCTTTATCTTTAATAAAATTCTACTCTCCACGAGATTTTTCATCAACAACTGAATTCATCTTCTGATGACAAGAGCAAGTTTGTTGTTTTCTCGTTGTGAATTTGATTGTCACATTTCATATAGATCTCCTGAACAATGTCAATAATTACAAATGCAGCATTTGTTTCGTCTAAAGAAAATTCTTTTCACGAGAAAACGTAAGTCAAATTTTTCCGGCATAATAAATGAGATCAAGAATTGTAATGACAAAAAATGAATCGCAAATAGATTGCAGAGGAAATACGTTGATCAACGAGAACGAGTTTATTATCGACGTTACACAGTGGAAGTCTTTGGGAGACACATCAATCCTTTGTCGAAATGATCGAGTAACACTACGAATTAATTCTGTTTTTTCACTTATAATGGGTGTAGTGCATTAGTTTAGATATTTTTCAGATAAACGACGATGTCATTTATAGAATATGATCAACTGGCAACGGTATACTTTACGGATTGACTTGGGTGGCGATATAATCAATTTTATTCTCTTCTTCCTACACATGTTCTTTTGTTTTTGAAAATTCTTCCGATGATTCGAATTATCCTCTAATATCATCTTCCGTGTCTCCTGTAATGTCACACCGTTTTCAAGATAATGATGTTGTTTTCTCCTGAACTCACATCTAATATTCTTTCATTAAAAATTTTCTTTTACACTTACAGGGTGTGTAAAAATGTTTATCCAGAGGGTAATGCTGTGATTTTAAATAGAGTCAATAGCAAATTTTATACCAAATGAAAGCGCGTCAAAAATGGTATTGATCAGTATTAAATAGTAAGGGTTCTACAAAACTTCTTATATATCAAACATAACAAATTTCTAGAAATTTTTGCAGCATTACTTCGTAGGAAACCATCATTTTGATCAAATTTGGTTTTTGAATTGCCTCATGAAAGAAATTTTTCGCACTAAAATAGCGAAAATTCCTAGAGATTTGTTATGTTCGATATAAAAAGATTAACAAAACTCTTACTATTTAATACTGATAAATTCCATTTTTGACGCGCTTTCATTTTGTATAAAATTTGCTATCGACTCTATTTAAAATCACAGTTTTTTCAAATATTAATCTCTCATATCATCAAATACTGATAATCGATTTGTTTTTTTCTGAAAAAAACATCGAATAGTTTTCAAAAATAGTTTCAAGTAAAAATTCATTATCATTAAATCTTTATATGTGATAGCTGGTGCGTTCAAAAAAGTAGTCAGATCACCAAAGGAGTTCTTTTTTGGACAGGAAATAATTTCTAATGATACGACAATATCAACTTTTTTTAATGACAGTAAGAATAGAAAGAGCAACGATTCTGTTGAGATATCTTATTTGTATAATATCCTTCCTAAACATTAATAGAGAGCGAATAATGATGTTTTAGCGTCAATGATGATGAAATAACATGACATATTTTGTTCGCGATCAGAATTCTTTTTTCGATTCCATGATGATCTCTATTGTCAACTCATAAAATGAGCAGACGACCTTTCCAACCGAATAGAATTTGTCGTTCATTGGCAGGTATATGAATATAAATAAGATCAATTACGAGCAATCGACCAGAAAACGGGCCTACTAATGGACCATGGAAAAAAGAAGTAATTGAACACATTAGAACTTAATTCTTATATATTTGACAATCGATCGTCTCTGTAGTGAGAGAACTTGTAGACAATTTTGTCTCGCATTCAACCTTCACCAGCAATGAAAAATCCAGCTGTCTGTTGTCAAACAATTTTATTTACTTATGGCAAGAAATAAGATAGAAAAAACCTAACAAAAACAAGACAGTGAAAGATATTTGACTAGCAGACATCAAAGAAAAACATTGCGAGAATGGACAAGTACGTTGTTCATTCAGCATTTGAATACTTGGCATATAAGAATAAGCTGTTGAATTTTGAAAAGTCAAATAGCAGTACATAAATATGAATGACTTCTGAACAATATGAGCTTGTTTAACAGCTCATCTGGATTAATCGATGGATCGTGATATCATTCAAATAATACAAGATCACCGAAAAATCAATTGAGACCAAACGATTAATAAAATGATAAATATTAGATTTGTCTTTTTACCTGAGACAGCTTATGTACAGTTTTTTCATCGACTTAGTATATCGATTATTTTGATAGGAAAAATCACATAGAACATTACTGGCAAAATAGATTCTTAATATTGTCACCTCGAAAACAACGATTAGTTTTATCGTTATCACTTAGATTATTTTCGAATGTCACTTAAAACAATCGATTATAATGTTCTATATCTATTGCCAATTTAATCGAAGATCAGATTATTTTCATTTGTTTTTTTTTTGTTCATTTTATTTAATTTATGGAAACCGAGTAAATTGCATTCAATTTATTTCGATCAAAATGAAAGTCATAGCCAATCTCTAATTAAATCTCATTAATAGCCATTAGGGTTCTTTGTGTGGGATATTTAATAATCTTTGTCATTGATTGTCTCTCGTTTAAATATGATAATTCTCGTCCGACAGAAGTTAATATTGTGCTCACATTTTTCAACTGAAAAATTCAAACGTCAGCAGCCATGGACAACGAAAAGTTACTTACTTTATCCGAAATTAATCGTTGATAATTAAGCATTGATTCTTCATAATAATTGAATTTTCCAGGTCGGAAAAATATGATCTTAAACCATTGTATACTACAAAATATGTCAAGAATGATCATCGTATATTTGTCAACGCATACATAACGAATGCGATGAACGTAAAAGACTATGGTAAACGAACGCATTTTGTTGAAAATAAGTCATAAGTCGGGTTGCACTTCTCCAGCACAAAGATTTTTCGTTTTGAAGTCAGTAACAAATATAATATTAAGTATGAATATTTTGATTTCATTTTTATTTAGATTAATTCGAAACAGATATTTAAGAGTAAATGTTCATTTTAAAATAAAAAAATTATTATCTATTCATTTGGGTCGATTCAAACATCAAATTAAGTAATGAGTAATTTTAAAAAAATATAATATAATTTCATATCTAAGGCGAGGCGGATAAAATCCGTCTATCTTGAGCGAGATGAATTATATGAATACAGCAACGCACGACCGTTGACGATTATCGTAATACGTGTCTTAGATTTTTCTCTTCATTTTTGTCGACAACAACATGAACACTTTCCTGGAGATAGATCAATTTTTGTATGATTTCGTCGTCATCTTCTAATTTCTCTTAGATGAAATGTTCATACGATAAACTTTTCGTATTTTGAAATGATATTTGACAAACTTAATCATTATTTAGATCAACGATAGAATTGATTTGAAACATTGATGGTTTTGAAATCGTTTAATTGGTTAGTTCCACTGGTTTTTTATTAGAATTTGAAGATGATGATGCGTTTTGCTTTGCTCGATCCTATATCTTCATTTCAGTAAACATATTTTATAATAAATATTCTTTTCGTTATATTGAAGTTTCGATTTTCGAAGCTTCAAATTTTAATAGAATAACTTGATCGAAAACTTCATTGCTGTCTTGAATCATGATCAAATCATAAACACTGTATTTTCTGAATTGTCTTTATGAAAATAAAGTATTCGATCTTTTTTTAAGTTGGCAACGTTCGAACCTCCATCCATCATCATTCGCTTCGGATTGGTCAAATTCAAATTCATGAGTGACGTCACTGTTTTTCATTTTATTCGATTAATATTTGACAAAAAAGAGTCATCAGACATTCGAGTAGAAAGAAACGTACGTTTGCGCATGAATAATCTTTATACAGCCTGAAAGAAATTTTCAACATTTATAAATTGAGTTTCTTGGTATTGATTCAATTTGAATTTTGTTATTCGAAATAGTAGGTCAAATAATTTAGCAATATGTTCACTGAACTATTAGATCAGAGTCTTGTTTTCAGCTAAGACTGATAATTAATCAGAAATTTAGAATGTAGGTTTCAGAAAAACTACTTGACTATTCCCACATAAATACAGGCTATAGTTGAGTTTGACCTTCACTTAGATTATTTTCGTTGTAAAAATCAATCAATCATTCTAAACATTTTCGTATTGGTTTATATTTTAATCCAATCATGGTCAAGGAGATATTTGTAGTATGATGACTAATAAATCTTAATTTAACTGTCTTTTTCTTCTTTCTCTTTGACGCCTGTTTTTTTTATCGGCAAGATCTGATGGTTCACCGATAGAACTACCTATTTCTTGATCATTTTTTTCTAATAACATATTCATAGATGGCCGATTCATCACCAACAACTGAAAATAAAAAACTCGATGATTTCTATCAAAGTATTCTATCAAAAGAACCAACTGTTCGATTAGAATGTTTTTCTGCACTTGAAAATTATTTATCTGATGTAAACACATCACTTGAATGTGAAGACCTAACTGGTTTTATTACTGGTTTATTTAAATGGATTGAAGGCAGTAATTTTCGAGTATGACTTTCTTATGATTTATAGATTTTTGAGAATGTTTGTTTGCAATTTAGATTGCTTATAATGGTCTTCGAGCAGTGGAATTATTAATTGATCGATTAAATTCATATGAATTTGAATGTTTACTTGATAATGGTATTTAAGAAATATTTCGATTGATATAAAAATAGTTCTTTTCTTTTATAATATTTAGTTGTAACTATAACAGTTGATCGATTGGGTGATGCCAAAGATCAAGTAGAATAAAAGATTTTAAAAGTATAAATTGTAAAACAAAAATTTTATTTAGGTTCGAGAAGCGGCGTCTAATCTCCTTATAAAATTAATGACAACCTTCACACCACGAGTAAATTTTGTTAATTAAAATAAACTTTACTTCTTTTTTTTGTATATAGCGTATTTGGGATTTAATACAACCATTATCATTTGATCATAAACAATTTCGTATAAAAGAAGAAAGTCAACTTTTACTTATAAGATCATTAAATGAGTATGTAATCGAAAGCAACCAATTGTTTGATAGAAAAAAAAAGCCTAGAATAAGAACAAAGTTTATCTTACCAATCAATCTTCTGCTTTTTCAATAGAAGTACTAGTCGATTTTCTTTTTTATCTGTTTGTTATTGTAACGATCGTTGGGGTTTTTTTACTAACGGAGTCACGACGACAAAAAGCAATCATTTGAATAGTAAACAAATAAACGTCTGTATGCCTCATAATTGAACATACACAATCGGCTGTGAGTTACCCTGACTCTCATCTCTTTTTTCTCTCATATAGCTATAGACACATTTGTGTATGTCTACGTCCTTCTATCGTCATTAATAAAAGAGATAATACAACAGAACGTAAGAAAAATGCACATACAACTGTGCAACGGTCAGCGATCATGAGAAAGATTTAGCGATATAGCAGAAAGAAAAGAAAAAAATTCATTCTTACTATCTAATTGTACATGCATTGAGTATAATCAAAAAAGATCTTCTACTCTTTTTGTCACCTTTCGTATCGCTTATCATATCCTTAGAGTGGTACGTCAAGATCATTGTTTTTATCATAACTCACATAAATAATAGTATGTTAACGAATCAACCAACAACAGTCTCGACAAAACCTACTTCGATTGTAGAGTAAGTTCATAGATGTCACTTTCCTATTGTCTTTCACTTCCGGAATACTTTTCTTCGATTTTATTAAAATTAATCTAGTAAGAAAAAAAGAAACCAAACGATTGTTTTTTATATGAATGGTCCAATTTTACTCTGACATTATAACTATATTACTTTTTTTTTCCATCAATATGAAAGTTATATTTTCATGATGAAATACTTTATCTCTTATTTTGTTTCCAGCACAAAGATGCGACTCTATGTATGTATGTACATGTGTGTAGAAGGAAAGATAGTGTGGTATGTACACAGCAAATAGATAGAGATATAATGATCGTTAAAGTGCATTACGCAAGATGCAAATGACATATCTCTCCCGTTAATGATCATCGTTGCCTTTTACCACTGTCTATTTAATCCAACTGAGTGTTATTCTTATTGTGGATTTTGATCTTTTTCTCTTTCTCTGTATTTTTCCTTGTCTTGTCAACTGTAAGTTAATTTCAGTACAAATAATTTCCTCGTGTCAGTAGACAAGAAAAGGATTAAAATTTTATTAGTGTTACTGATATTGTGTCTAGTCGAGATGAAACAAGCTAATTCAATACAGATTACCAATGATAAGTAAGTGAAATAGAAATAGATCATTTTTTTTTTCGTAGTTTTATGTAAGTTCGACAACTTTTGAAACATATAGTTATGAACTTTTGTTTTTTTCTTCTTAAGGTTTGGTGCATCAACACTTCAATTTAGTAAACTTGTTCCACTTATTTGTAAACTTGTATCAGATTCAAATGGAACTGTAAACTATTCAAAATATATTGATTTTTAATTATTTTAACTTTCTTTTTTTTGTTTTAAATAGGTTCGTCAACAAGCAGTTGATACGCTTGTAGAAATTTATCGTCATGTTGGAGAAAAAGTTCGCAATGATATTGCTAAACGCGACATACCCGAAGCCAAGTAAATGATTTAATATATTATTTTGTCTTTTTTTGTTTAATTCTAATTTTTATTATTTAGATTAAAACAACTTTACGAAAAATTTGATGATGTTATTGCAAGTGGTCGAATGATTGCTAAAGTAACGGATTCAACAGATGATGGTAAGATACATATTATATAGATGAAATCGAATAAATATTATATATGTATGTGTGAGTGTGTGTGTGTGTGTGTATGTCATCATCCTCAAAATATTCTTTGGATCATTAATCAAAATGGAAGATCGTATTTATATTGCATTAACTCAGTCATCGAAGGTGTAAGGTATACATACATATATATAAGATATAAATGATGATAAGTTGATCGTCACATTAAAAAAACCCGCCCCGAAAAAAAAAGATACAAAATGAGGGATGCATAAATTTATGTGTATGTACGACAAACTACCTTTCTATCGTACTTGAACTGATCGAAGCTTGTTAGTTACTTGATACGAGATACGAACAATGAATTCAACTTTACTTGAACAATTTCTTGGTCCATCATCAACTCGTTTTCAATTACCAACATTATTTGAAGAGGAAAATGATGAACTCTATCCATTAGTTAATATTAAATTTTGTCGATTAAATCGAACGAGAAAATTGTTACTAGGTATAAATAAATATTATACATAGATAAGGTCTTGTATTTTACTTACATATAGTTATTAATCTTTTGTATATATTTAAATTCTACACTTTTTCATTCCATATATTTGATGCTTCACTTTTTTGGTACTTCTCTTTGTCTCTCTCTCTCCCTCTCTCTCATTGTCTCATGCTAAACAGTAATAGCTTTATTGAACTCATCTATTGATAGAGTTTTTTTTTTCTCTTTCATATATGCTTGTGTGTGTATGTGTGGGTGAATGTGTTTGAAAATTTTTTTCAATAAGCCGAGGCAACGGCAAACACACAAGGATGATCGTTTATATGCATATGTGTAATTTTCATTGATATTCAAATTCTATACAAAGACGAGAGAAGAGAACAAAAGAGAAAAAGAAAAAGCATCACATTTACAGATGGTGCCTATTACAGATATGTTTTTAGCTAGTAAACCTCGTAAGGCTGTGTTAATTGATTTGTTTTTTTTTTTGATATTATTAAATCTATTTTTAGCTCGTGCAAAATCATCAACAGTAAAATCTCGACGTGATTCGGATGGTAGTGGAACAGTACCTCGAGCAAGACCAAGTGGTAGTATTCCAGCACGAACAACTATTGGTAGTTCAACTTCAGGAGGTAATTAAATAAAATAAAAAATATTTTGAATGTAATACAAAAGTAAACAACAGAAACAAGTAAAGTTTCTTCTTCTTCTACCAATCATCGTTCACGTTCATTATCTGGTATACTACGTCCACACTCATCTATATCAACAACAGGAGGTATTATTATCTTTTGTTGTGTTGTGTCACTATTTCGGCTGTTGTTATTTGTTGTGTTATCTGCACTAGTCGGTTTGTAACACGTGTTTGTGTTATTATTTGACCAAATTACATATATAGATATATATATATATCTTGATAGCTGATGACGTAAGACGTTGATTATGGATCGTATATTATATTCTTTTAATTCTAGTTGAGAATAAAAACGATTTTTTTTAATAAATAAGATAAAAATTAAAAATTGTTTTTCTTTTTTTTTTTTATAGCTGCTGCTAGTGGAGCAGTTGATGAAGCAATATTCGAAGATGCATTCAATGAATCGCATGACATTATGGTAAGAATGATTATTATAACCTATTGTAATCGAAGAAGATAAAACATCTATTTATATGTCAATATATGCCATATGGCAAATGTTTTATCTCATTAAAAACAATTAAATCATATGAATATTTGTTTTCTTTTATTGAAGTTCTCATCAGGTAAAGATGTCGAAAATCAATTATTAAATATTCGAGATACACTTGCTGATACTAATAATGATTGGGAAAAACGTATTGAAGCAGTAAGAAATAAATAAAAAAAAAATCATGTCTTTATTTAAATTTCTGTTTTTTTTTTTTTTTTTTTTTTTTTTGTAATTAAGCTTAAACGACTACGTTCAATAATATCCGGTGGTGGTGATCAATATGATGAATTTTTTCGTAATCTTCGTCAACTTGATTTACCTTTAGTAACAACTGTAAAAGATTTACGTTCACAAGTAGTTCGTGAAGCTTGTATTACATTAGCATTTATGTCTGTTCGTTTTAAAAATCGTTTTGAACGTACAGCTGAAGGTATTATACCAGCTATGGTTAATCTTATACAAAATAGTGCAAAAATTATTGCAACAAGTGGAAGTGTTGGTATACGTTATATTGTTAATAATACACAATCAACTAAACTTGTTCCACTTATATTAACTGGTATTGAATCAAAATCTAAAGATATTCGAAGGTTTATATAAATATTTTTTGTTTTATATTACTTTTTGTGAACTTTGCTTTCTTTTTTTTCTTCTTTAATTTTTAATAGACATACATATGACTTATTAATAATCATGCTTTCAAAATGGGATTTTATTTATTTGGATAAACATGGTCAATTAATTCATGATGTTATAAAAAAAGGTTTATCGGATGCTGATGCTGATGCAAGAGTATATGCACGAAAAGCATTTGGATTGTTTCGTGAACATTTTTCTCTATTAGCTGATGCACTTCTTGCTACACTTGATTCATCAAAAAAGAAAACTTTACTGGTTTGTTTAAAAAAAATAATCTTTATCTTTAAAGAATTTCGTTTGTTTTTTTACATATATCAATAAAATAGGGTGACATGAGTAATGCATCAAGTACACAATCATTAGCAAGTATAGGTAGTTCAAGAATACGTAGCACAAAAGAGTATGTGTTTGAAATGTTAACATTTTATTGAATGTGAGGCTATCTGTTTTTGTTTTTAGTAGTACATCAAGACAAACTCGAACAGTAACTAATGGTAAGAAATAGATAGATTTTGATTTACAGTAGTGAACAAAAATCTTCGTCGGAGCCGATCTCGACCACTAAATCTGCTGAAGGTCGGAAAATTTATTTATATATCCGTCAGCAAGAATGTAGATCATTGGCATGCGTCACCGTTATTGCTTGATTACAAAAGTTTCTTACAAATAATACGACAAATTCTTGATATTTTTACATGTAACTACAATACCGTCTACAGTCTTTCTTCATTCAAAATTTTTAGTTCATTTGCTTGAATATAAATATTTCTGAATCGTTGGAATCAACAAGATAATTATCTATGTTTCATTTCTCTTTAGTACACGATTTGCTTCTGAAATTGTGAAAGAAGTTTCTCAAAAAGTTTGAACTCGTTTCAGTGAGTTCTTGACCTCCAAAGGGCAGTAGATAATTTCTGTTCACAATAATGAACATAGTCTTTGAAAGTATTGATGAACTTCAAAGAAATTAGTAATGTAGATAGCTGAGATATAGCATTACATATTGAAGAGTCGGCTGATAATAAAATTTAGGTGCCATCCATTATAACTTCCTTTGTAATCAAGCAATAATAACGCCGCTGCAACGCAAATAATCTACATTCTTGGTGAAGTGCATGTACACAAATTTTCAAACGTTCAACACATACAGTGGTCGAGATCGGCTGGTGTAGAGACTTTCGTTATCTAAACGAGTTTCTAGATCTCTCCAGTGGAATGACTAATACTAAATCCATAGGGAAATTATATAAGCACTATTGCAGTTACGGCCCTTTATCATAGTCCAAAATGTAACTAGAAGACTAGTCGATAAGACTCTAGATGAATTTTTTAACTATATTTTATGCTCATATCAGAAATTTCTTTAGGTAAATATTCAAAAACAATTTCTCTCGTTTTTCTCGAGAGTATTCGTCCTAGTGGACTTCATTTTTTTCTTATTAAGGAGTTTTCTACTCGACTTTCAATATCAAAGCAATTGTGAATTTTCTAGAAAACATTGCCTAAATTTTGAGAGCGCCAAAAATGAAATAAAAAAATCTATCTCCCATCCGAAGTAGTAAGGAGTTCTCTTTGAAATGAGAGTAGCTCGAGCATTGTAGTTTGAAATGTATTATAAAAACATTTGTACAAGTGAAACTCTTAGTTTGCACTACGACTTCTGAAAGGTCAGGCTAGAAGCCGTGAAAATTTTTTTAATCGTGCACTTTCATTAGTCAAACATCTC